ACTCTTTGGGTTTCAAGAAAACTATCATTAAGAACTCCCACTATGAGAAGAGTTTATGAGATAATGAAAATTAAAGTTAAAAGTAATGTATAAATATCAGGTAGTGTAATAATGATACTCTCTTGAAACTTTTGGTAGTAATGAGGTATAACTTAGGTAAAATTTAATATTCTTATCTCGTCTTCTCATAGAATAAGGGTGGTATATCAAATATTTATAGAAAACTAAACTCTTTAAGCTCTTTAAATTTTAATCCTTTGTGAATACCTAAAATGTTTTACAGTAGCACTTTATTAATTTGACAACTTGAGGTCATGGTGGTTGGTATATCAGAAGTATGGACAGCCAAACTCTACCTTTTTGTCACATGGGAAAATATAAACTTAGGATTCAATAAGTGCGTCAGCTAGCAATTTTCCAATTTCCTTTAAAAGAATCTAAGGTAATGTGTTTCTTTTTGTGGAGCATTCATTTTTTTGCAAATACTTGTAGGGTAGTTAATATGTGCCAGAGGCTATTCTAGGTTCAGAGGCCAAACAGTGATCAAAACCAACCAAAATTCTTCCCCTTCCAGAGTACACATTCAAATAAGAAGCAACCCTTAGGGTTGACATTTAAGCAAATGAACACAAAAGCTCTATTTTATTCTTGCCAGAATTTGCAGTAGTATATTTGTTTTTTCCTAGCTCTTACATGTAACATTACAGTTGAGTATTCCCTAAAGCATATACCTTAAGCTCTGCTACATACAGTAGGCCCTCTGTATCCACGGGTTTCACATCCATAATTCAACCAGCTACAGATCAAAAAGATACTTTTTTTAATCTCAAAATGTTCCAAACTTGAATTTGTTGCACATCAAGCACTACACTGAATCTGCAAGAATGAAATGATGAGTAGGCATACCCAGCTGTGGCCTATATGTAAGTATGTATAGGTTACATGCAAATCTTACACCATTTTATATAAGGAACGTAAGCATCTTCAGGTTTTGGTATCCGTGCGGATGATGAAACCAGTCTCCCTTCAGATACGAAGGGACAACTGTCTTGTTGAATTTCTCTCCAGGGTAGTTTACCACTTTACCTTCCCTCAGGACTGTGTTGCGAGTCCTCAGTTCTCCTCATCCTCACCAAAACTTGCTACCAGGTTTTTCAATTTTTGCCAACTGTTATTATATTTAACATTTTTCCTTTTAGCTTGCATTTTCCTGAAAACAGGTGAGGATAAACATCTTTTCATGTATTTTTTGGCCACTCAAATTTCCTCTTCTTTAATTGCCATTTCATCTGCTCTTTAAATTAGAGTGATTGTCTTTTTCTTATAAATTTATAGTTTTTTTTTTTATATATATTCTGAACACTACCTTTGTTCACTACAAGAATTCTAGGTACCTTCTCCCAGGCTCTGACTTGTCTTCTCACTTCATTCATGGTAACTTTTGGCAAACTGTAGCTTTTAAATTGTAAAATAAATAATTTTATGTTTTCTTTTTTTACTTTGTGCTTTATGGTTTTTTAAAATTAATTAGTTAATTTTATATATATTTTTTACATATATGTATTTAGGCATATATATATTTACACTGTGTATTCACTTCCCACAGTTAGCTTTCTTCTGGGCTTTATGTTTTTTATTTAAAAATTCTTCCCCATCCCAATGCCAAAAAGATGTTTCTTCTGTATTTTGTGCAGAAAGATTTACAGTTTTGTAAATTATATTTGTGTCCTTAATCCATTGGGAGTTTATATGTACGATGTCAGGAAGGGAGACCTTTTTTTGTCTTTATTTATAGCTTGTGTATCCTTTCCCTCTAATTTACCTGTTTCTGCTATATACCAGATGCCCTATACTCAAGAGTCTGCTTCTGTGCTCAATGAGCTTTAGATCTATTTGAGTAGCTCTACAGAAAGGCTACACTATTTTAATTATTCGAACTTTGTAGCATATCTTGAAATCTGATAGGCCTTATTATGCTTCTTTAAAATTACCTTGGCTATTCTGGAGCCTTTATTCTTTACTTTTAATTTTTAAACATGTCTGTTGTAATACGTAACACATACCAAAATGTGCATAAACTACAGACGTCACGAAGCTGAACAAATCACTGTAAAGTAAACATGCTCACATAACCCCACACAGATCAGAGCACTGCCAGCCCTCAGTGCCCATCATCCCTCCTGTGACTTCTCTCCCGGGACATATGGTCATCACCTTCACGTTTTGCATCATGGTTTTCCCACTCAACATATAGTTCAGATTGATCTATTTACTTAAATGAAATCATAGTGTGTGCAATCTTTGTGTCTGACTTCATTCCCCCAACATTATGTTTTTTAAATTTAAACCTTAAATATTTCATATGAATTTTAGAATTGGCATTTAAGTTCCAACAACAAAAGAAAACAAAAACCTTATTAAGATTTTATTTTTAATCTTATTAAATTTATATATTAATTTGATGAAAATTGATAACAGTTTTTCACCTTCCCATTTATAGATGTGGTATCTATATTTATTACTTGGGTCATTTTTTAAAATGTCCCCTATATAGTTTTTTAGTCTTCCCTATAAAGACCTTCATATTTTTCATTAGATTTATTTCTAAGTGTCTTACAGTTGTTGTTGCTGTTATCTCCTAATAGCTAATTGTTTAACCTTTCTAGACAGTCTGAAATTTATCTTTGGTAACTTTTAAGGATTTCTTTATTTGTTCTACTACAGTGGATCTAAATATATATTTCATTTTATTATCCTTCTTGGGACTTCTGCATTTTCAGTCTAAGGATTTATATTCTTTATTAATTCTAGAAAACTGTCGTGACTATTATCTCTTGAACTATAGTCCCCTCTTCCCATATTCCCTCTGTTGTCTTATGAAAGCTCTATGAGACATACACCGAGGACCTTTCTGTCTGTATGATGTCTGTCTTTGTAGAACCCCAGGCCTCCCCTCTGGGCCCATTCTACCGGCTTCAGCGCCTCTTTGACCCGTACCCTGAAGAGTTTTTATCTTCTCCCTGTAGATGGGAGAGAGGTTAGATATGGGCTATCCTGGCACAGGGAGGAATTGGGGTTGCTTTTACAAAGTTAAGATTCCTCCACTTCACTCCTGCCTTTCACACAGAACCTGAACTGTGTGTCTCCAGTCCCTGAACCTGTCCCAGCTCCAGGAGACCCTCTTGCTGGCATTTGTATTTACCCTTTTTTCCATATGCTAAGGCATTTCTAATTACACAATGTGTTTTCCATTGTGTGTGTGTGGTTCAGGATTACATATGCTTTCTGGCTTCATTGAATGAGGAGTTGGTTTCTGTTTTCGATTTCTTTTTTGCTTTGCGCCATTTTTGAGATAAGTGGAATGGAAATTATTTGAAACCCAAAGTCATCTACCATTCATTCTTTAGCCTTCTCCAGTCTGTCTTTTGCTCCTAGCACTGCACCAAAACTGTTCTTATAAGGTCATCAAAGGCCTCCATTTTGCCAAATGCAATGGTCATTTTCCTTTCTCTGTCTCACTTGAACTTTGAACTGCATTAAACATAAATGGCTAGTATTCCTATCTCAAAACACCATTCTCTGAGCTTCACTGATACTAAACTCTACTAGTTTTTCTTCTGTTCACTGGCAGCCCCTTTTCAGATTTCTTTATTAGCATATCCCACTCTGTCCATCTCCAAAATGTTGATGTACCATGGGTTCAATGCTAAGTCCTCTTCTCTCTTCTGTTATATGCCCACCCTCATATCATCTCATCTAGTCCCATTGCTTTAAATACCATCTAATACCAGTGACTCTCAAATCTTTATTTCTGCTAATTTTTTCCTTGAGTTCCAGATTTCTATATCCAACTACCCACTTGGTGTCTCCACTAAGATTTCTAATAGATACTCCCAAGCTCATTCCTGCATTGCATTTGCTGTTTTCTCTGTCCGAAATGTTCTTCCTCTAATCCTTCTAATCACTGGCACCCCATTATCCTTAAGATCGTCACTCGCGTCACTTCCTCTGAAGCTCCCCCTGATCACCCAACCTAAAGAAGGTCCCTACTTCAAGTCACTTTATTATATTTCTTTAATGGAGCTTGTCTGGAGTTGTTTTATGTGTTTGCTTATTTACTGTCTATTCTACATATTGACAAGTATTACCTCTATAAGAGTAGGACCTTGTCAATCTTCTGCTGGATATTAAGTGCATAGAGTAGTACCTGATGTATGGCAGATGCTCAATAAATTCTTGCCTAATTAATTTTATTAATAAAACATTAAAGTGTACTCTTCTCCTATTAATTTGGTATGAATAACTTCTTATCGTATGAATCAAATTCACAAAATTAAAGGGTTTTTTTTTACCTACTCATTTTTACCTCAAAAACCATACATTGTATTTAGACCTCTCTTGCCACATAAATTACCTTCAAATGAAAAACAAGCTTGTTTGTAAACAGAATTGTTCATTAGTAACTATTGGTGAGGATTTTAAAATTTAGAAAAATCAATACTTGAAAATTCTGTTAAAACACTATGTAAATTTTAAATTGTCTTTATTTTCTGATAAATTTATGATATGGCTGGGTCACATCATTGAACATCAAAGTTATTTTCTGCTAAAATCTCTGTTGGCCACATGCCAATAAGAGTAACCACTGAGTTAGTACGGTGTGAATGTGTTTTTATAATCGGATTTTTTAATGGCTTTTTAAAAAATGACAACATTGTTTTTAAAATAATTTGCCAGTACTTTGAGTGTTAAATGGTTTGGATTTTGCTATCTCTCCTAACTTAACAAAAACATATTTGTTTACTAAATAAATTAATTTTTTGTTGATTTGTACTGCTTGCTATTCTGCAACTTGGTAGGAGTTTTGGTTATCACCTAACACTGCTAAAATAAAGGAAAATAACATCTGAAATATTTTGTGGTTATTGATTTCTATGTTAAATATATTCTTTAAGTTTTTATTACATTTAAACAATCCAGTTGGAATTTTTTTCTTTTAGATTTCTGGTGTCTGCTACAACAGCAAAATGTTACAAGTTCATCAGGTGCTCTGCATCCCTAGCTGGATGGCAAAGTTCTTTTCTTGGACGCTTGAGCCCATCTTCTCATCTTCAGAACCCACCTCTGAAGCCAGAATCGGGATGGGGGCCACAGTAGACATCCAGCGACAGCAAAGAATGGAGCTGCTTGATCGACAGCTGATGCTTTCTCAGTTTGCACAAGCAAGGCGGCAAAGACAGCAGCAGGTAAACAATAATAATAATAATAAATTCAGAATTAATGGTGTGAGTAAGCTGTTCTTCTGTGACTGTATGTGTGGTAGAGACTGCATTTCGTTCCTGTGCAACGTGGATATTTCAGCATTTCCAAGTAGAATGTAGGTCTCTGTTAGTGGCTATCCTTAGTTTTGTTTTGTTTTGTTTTTTAAAGTGAAAAAAACTAATTTCAGCTGAAAGACTGGTCAAACTGGACATTCTTGTTCTACTTCTATTAGATAAGCATTATTTCTTAGAGAAACACCAACCTAGTTAACAAGATGTGATATTTATCTGTTTTTATAATCTTGTAAAAGCCACAGTGTCTTCCTGTTAAAATGCATATTATTATGTGCTCTGGAGTGAAGAGCAAAAGTAAAACTTCTTGATTATCTTTGATTGAAATGGAGAGAATATAAAGGTAAGAAAATTTTCAGGGAAACAACCAATGAGTAGATCAAATAAATGCTGTGTTTTCTTAGCCTTGTCATCAATCATCAGGAAATATTGAGCATCTGTATCCAAACTGATACCACAATTCTCATACCACACTTGTCTTTCAAAGGTTACTATATATCAGGCTACCTCATAGCTGATCTGTCTTTGAACCTTCTATGATCCAGGACACTGGACTCTTCATTTCTTGTGTCCATCTTCCTTACCCTGTAGAGTATGAGAGAGGATACTGTTCTCTTTTACCACCTGCCTATCTCCTGCCTTCATTGGGTATGAGAAATAGGTCTGTAGACCTTACAGTGGTCTGGAGAAGTGAAATCAGGTGTGTCATCCCTGGTGTCCCATTGGAGATGTGGGTCCCAGAGTTTATATCAGGAGTGGGAAGAAGGGGGTCCCTTAATGGTCTGAGTCTACAAGTGAGAAAGAGAGGTGAAGATTGTTTCTTAGAGATGTAGTTGAATTTGAGGTGAATCTGGAACATACAATAAAGATAACCAAGATATAGTTAAATATGGAGGACAGACACCTCTCTTAGAGTGGTCAAAGCTGGAGGAGTACATCATGGAGTCAAATTTGTAGGGTTGAGAGATGAAAGCAAGATGCCAGATGAGTTATGTAAGAGAATTACATCCAAGATGAACATAGGCTATGAACTAAGCCTTGTGTTTAGCAGGAGGAGGAGGTAGATCCTTCAAGGAAACAGAGGGAAGAGTGAAAAATATGAGAACTTGGAATGATCACTGTCTGAAAACAGTAATGGAGAGTATAATGGTTTCCCAGTTAGAATGAACAGAGCTATGAGGAAGAAAAAGAAGCAGTGAATGTTTCTGAGGTTTCTGTCTTAGATAACGGGATAAATCGATGACAGTATCATTTCACTAACATCAGAAGAGCAGATTCAGGGAAAATATATGAAATGAGCTACCTTAGGAATAGCTAGGAGGAGATTCCCCATTAGATAGCTATGGATCTTATATTCATGAGCAAGAGAGAGAAGTTGTATTTCTCGGGTTGGCGTCCCAAGGCAGAGTTTAACATGTGAAATTTATCAAGAACACTGTCAGGATCAGTGTTTGGGGAGGGGTGGTGAAGGAGAGACGTGGACTTTAAACAACAGTTACAAAAAGGACCTGAGCTGATCTTACGGAGAGCTGTGGAATTGGGAGAGCACTTAAAAGTTGCCCCAGATTTAGACATGGAACTGAAACTGAACCTCCACCAATCAGTCATGGCATGCAGATTGTACATCTTGGGCTGACTGGCTCTCCTCAGAGGCACACCGTCCACAGGGGACATGTCCCTTGAGAACTATGAGGTGGCAGCACTCCTAGCAACAGGCAGATTGAGCACTTTGGTTCTGGGGGAGATGGGAGTCTGAATGGCAGACCACAGCATCCACCCCTGTGCTGCTGGGATCTTCTTAGTTTACATAAGTTCTTGGAGCAGCTCCTCCAGGGTTCCAGTGGAACTCTTTTCCTGGGCGAACGCTTCAAGAGGAAGGTCAGTAGGACAAACTACATTCCCTTCTGCTGAAGCTGGTCTCAGGGTCACACTGATCATCATTTCCCTCCTCTACTGTTCATTTGAGCGTCCCCTCAATCTTGGCTGAAAACGCTGACTTGGTGAAATGATGCATACTCTTACCCCTATGCAGTCTGAGTCCCTCGTCACCATGCCCTTCTCAGGCTGTGTCAGCTGCACTTGTCCATTTTTCCATTTACTGTAAAAATTGGCCAAGGGAGCACTAAGAGATACCCTAGCAGATCACCTGGGTGCCACACATAGTCTTCCCTTCCCCTTTCGTGCCCCTAGCCATACCTTTTCTTGATAATCAGGGTTAATTACTCCTGCCAAGATAATGACTCTTTTCCTTACCTGCTGGTTTTTGGCACAGGAGCCCAAAATGACTGGTTAACAGCTATCACTTAAATTGTAATAGCATTCTTGCCTTGTCACCCAATAGAAGTGTTCCTCTCCTGTGAGTCAAGCTCTGTAAACTCAGAGTTGCAGGGACAAGAAGCCTAGATTCCCAAAAGAGGTCACTAGGAGGGAGGATAATCAAGGTAACTTCTTCTAACCCTCGTTTCCAAGACCCATGTGTTCTTCCTGTTGGGGACACAGCACCTATACAATGGTTGTTGATTTAGGGTTAATACTAGAGGCTGGAGTGCAAGGTATCATCTTCAAGTTAGTATTTCACTTACACCTTCAACTGGCTGTTTAATTGATCTGGCAGGCCAGCAGCTCCTGAGTCATATGGTGTGTGAGGGTCTATGTATTCCATGGTCTTGCCACTGCTGTTCCCCTTTTGCTCTAAATGGGCCTTGTAGTCTGACGTGATATTATTTAGAAAGCTGGTCAGTAGATCAAGCAGTCTGTAAACCCACAGATAGTAGTGCTTGCTGACAGAAAAGACATGCAGATCTATAACCAGAATATGTGTCAATTTCAGTTAAAATGAATTGCTGCCTGTTATTAGTCAGCTCAGGTTGCCATAACAGAATACGTGAGTGGCTTAAACAACAGAATTTTTTTCTCCCAGTGTTCTGGCGGCTAGAAGTCCAAGATCAAGGTACTGACAGGGTTGTTTTCTAGAGGGATTTCTCCATCACTCGCAGATGACCGACCACCTTCTCACTGTGTCCTCACATGGCCTTTTCTCAGTGCATGCGTGCTCCTGGTGTCTCTTTCTATAAGGACACCAGTTCTATTGGATTAGGACTCCACCCTTATAAACTCATTAGCCACAATTATCTTTTTAAAGGCTTAGATAATGGGATAGATCAATGACAGTATCATTTCACCAACATCAGAAAAGCAGATTCGTAGGAAATATATGGAAAGAACTACCTTAGGAATAGCTGGGAGGAGATTCCCCATTAGATAGCTATGGATCTTGTATTCATGAGCAAGGGAGAGAAGTTGTATTTCTCGGGTTGGCGTCCCCAAGGCATAGTTTAACATGTGAAATTTGTCAAGAACACTGTCAGGATCAGTGTTTGGGGGGATTAGGACTCCACCCTTATAAACTCATTAGCCACAATTATCTTTTTAAAGGCTTAGATAATGGGATAGATCAATGACAGTATCATTTCACCAACATCAGAAAAGCAGATTCGTAGGAAATATATGGAAAGAACTACCTTAGGAATAGCTGGGAGGAGATTCCCCATTAGATAGCTATGGATCTTGTATTCATGAGCAAGGGAGAGAAGTTGTATTTCTCGGGTTGGCGTCCCCAAGGCATAGTTTAACATGTGAAATTTGTCAAGAACACTGTCAGGATCAGTGTTTGGGGGAGGGGTGGTGAAGGAGAGACGTGGACTTTAAACAAACAGTTACAAAAAGGACCTGAGCTGATCTTATGCAGAGCTGTGGAATTGGGGGTTAGAGACTTCAACCTATGAATTTTAGGTGACATGTTTTAGTCCATAACATTGCCCCTACCAGAGTGAAAAAGCCTAGAAGTGTCTGCCTGGCACCAAATGACCGTTGGTTCTCTTTGAGGGATGGTTGTGTACTAGGACTCAGCATTGGCCTCTGCTGCTGTCAGTAACTAGGTTCACCTTAGAGAGTGCATAGCTTCCATCCCTGCCACCATGGCTTCTCTGTTTATCTGCCAACACTAAGTGGCCGGTGATAGAGACTGGCTGATATCAGTTGGCTGAGTCATCCTATCTCCATCCTCTGTGGTGGATGTCCATGGTAGATGTTAACCAGCAAAACACAGATAGCATACTTCATGCCTATTCATACCTCTTCCTCAGGTGTCCTGGTCCCCACCTTCCAGTCCCCTGACCAGCCAACCAAGTCATTACCACATCCAGTGAATCCATATATGTTATTACCTCAGGCTACTTCTCTTTCCACATGGAGGGGATGACCAAATGCGCTGCCCAGGCTCTGCCCATTGGGAGCATTTTCCATCATCGCTATCTTTCAAGAACACCCCAGAGTGGAGCTGTAGTGCAGTCATGGTCCGTTTTCAGCTTTCATGTGTATACTGAGCCAGCCCCTCTATGAACCAAATTTGGCCATTTTTATCCTTCATCACTTGGTCATAAGGGACCCACCCCATATGTTAGGAAGTGTGAACTGGGGAAGAAGTTTCAATCCAATAGTAGGTGATTTGACATGGTGGTCTGACATACCTGCTTCTGCTGCTCACCTATGCCCTCCGGCCTTGCTCACGCTGACCTAGATATACCACTAACATCTGACGATGGATTTCTTTGAGCCCACCTGACCTTAGAACTTGGCAGATCTTACCCTTCTAATTACATGCTCACTTTACGCCCATGGTCATGCACTTCCTCTCCCTGGGGTCCAGCAGCGGTTTTTCAAATTGTATAATTCTCTGCTGTGTGTGTACACTTTTGCCCCAGGACCCTAGGGATCTAGATCATGGTTGTCACCTTGTGGCTTGCTGCAGACTCCACACAGTTTCTTTCCCCACCACAGATACTTTGAATACAGTAAGACCTGCAGGTTGCACAGCCCGAGCATCAGTGAATAAAATAGACCCAAATCCCTGC